CAGCTCATCATGACTTCCATGAAGTAACAATATTTTGAATTCCATTAACTCTTATCATCTTTCAAGTACAGCCAGCCAATGTTCCATCTTCTTTAATAATCAAGTGCAAAATTTCTGTCTTGGTCAATTTTCAAATGTGTAGAATTAAAAGTACCGATAAAATTTTCCAGTCTTCTGATTGTTTGATCACAGCAAATAGTTAGCAATACTAAACACTTTCAGCAGTAAAAGCAAAACACTAAACTGTGTATAACTGAATACTGAACTCTTTGTCTCATTACTCCTTCTCCACTGACAAACTGTGAATTTCTTTTCTTTGTTATCCATGGAAAAGTGAATGTTTGCAGTTTTACTCAGTCCATTTCAACCTACAGCTGTCACACTTTTGAGTTGATTTTTGGCCAAGTAGTTGGATCTTTAAAAAATACCCATATTTTCCATTTGCCTATTTTTTCTGTTTAGAACTGTTTTTGTCACAAGAAGCTGTGGAGCAGGAACTTAGTGATACACTTTGCACTATTTTCTTGTCTAATTCTAATGGTAGTCTCCTCACTTTCTTTTAATGTGTCACAATGTAAAACCATAGGCAGAGTGCCCTTTTTTGTTTTCCAAATCTTTTTCTTCTTCTGCCTTCCTTTTCTGAAAAACTGTTCCTCGCAACAGCCACATTCTTCTTTATCCTATATATAATACATTAGATACGTCTACATCCTACAACACTTCAAATCTGTATTACCCAGCAAAAGTTGAGCCAGAGTAGCTGTTGCACACAGTAACTTCCTTATTATTCTAACTCTTTACAACCATAAATGTATATTGTTTCAACCCCAAAAGTTTTGATTCCTGTTTGTACTTAGTTATACCACCTGAGATACAGGTTTATATAGGCTTGCGCCAATTTTTGACTTATTTTTCACAGGTGTTGATAGGGTGTGAATGCATTTCCATGTCTATAGCAGAAAATTTAGGAGCTACTTGCACCTATGTTAGCAATTAAATTAAATTGAGAATGGGCAATCAAGAGGAAGTATCATAGGAGAAAAAGTGAAATTGGACTCATGTAACTCAGGAAATTTGGAGAAATCGAGCATGACTGACCGACCAACACTTACCTTTTATGATTATGACGACTTCGATAATTTTTCATAATAATGTGATTAAACAACAGTAAAAATATTATAATTTAAAACAAAGAACTTAAATATATTGAAAAATTTTACTTAGATTAAACAATGGGCTAACTAGTGAGATACACTAGTGCCTCAATTATCCACTGTTCCTGTTATCCACAATTTTTTGCTTTCCCCAGACCAGTGCAGATAATCAAGGCACCAGTGCATATATATTTAGTTACTTTTACAGCAACAAGTGTATGCTAATGACCACATGATATCAACAACCACTTGATAGTATTGCCTGAACTTAACTGCCTTGGTCCTGTCCGAGTCTAAACACGTGCACTGATTGGTTGAATTGAGAGAAAGAACAAAAACAAAATGGTATGAAATTAGTAACATGTTGTGCAACTGCAGTGCTTCATTCCTGAAAAAACATGAAGAAGAGCTGAATCCACCATTAAAATCCTAGAAACAAAGAATGCAAAAATAGTTCCAGACTTCCAAGAATCCAGAACTGTTCTAGATTTGAGTTCTATTTAGCACAATCCTAGGCGCAAATAAAATGGGAGAAAATACCAGGTGTCACAATGACATTTTAGTCGTCATGGCAACCTGGTGCTCGGGGATTTGTCGAGGCCCGATATAAGTCAAAGATCAACTTCACTTGTCATCATTTATCGTGTGGTTAAGTAGAGACTCTACTAATGCTGATTGTGTTACACATCTCATCCAATGTTTAACGTAAGGAGACATGTTGCCTATTGCCATTATCAGACAGTTAGGGAAAAAATATAGCTTACATCGAAGAAAATAGTGGATCATAAACCATGTATTATGCTTATCAAGTTAAAGAACAATTAAAGGAAGTAACTGATGCTTCATCTGAACCAGAATCTGAAGATGAAGTACCAATGTAAAGATGGTAGCAAAATGGTGGTCAAGATGCTGGTGATACAATTTCAGTAATAGTGTTGTTTTTTCTGTGGCTACGAACTACAGATGTGCTCAACTTGACATAGAAGAGATATTATAAACAGACATTGACCATGAAAATCAATTAATCTATAAAACATTATTACTTTCACTATTATAAACTTGATAAAAGAATTATTACATGGTAATTCACAATAAAAACTATTTTATTTTACCACATTTCATACTGTGAAAGTAAAGTCCACATTTACTTTAAATTTTTTTTCATCATGAAAATACAGATCTTTAAATAATTATATATAGCCTTTTTAATCAAGGTAGATTATCAAATACAATACAAAATTTTCTTATTAATATAAAAACTAAACCTCTGTGCAATGATAATTACTCTCATTGCTTCATGCTTCACAGAAATAAACCAAACGAGGAAGTATAAATACTGTTACAGAAGTAACCTTAAGACAAGTAATTACATTCATTATTTTATAGTTTATCATAGAACTAAATCTTAAACAAAGAAGTATAATAATTACTTTCACTGTTTCATAGTTGATGAGAGAATCTACAGCTTTAGCTCCTGCCTGAGTTTCAGCTTTATTCATCTCTAATCTAAATCTTGTTCTGCAAAGACAAGAACACAGTTACAAGTTATTATAGCAATAACATTACAATTCAAGAAATGTTTTTTTCAATGTAAACTATATTAAGGTGCAATCCCAAACTAATGGAAAATCTTAAATCATACACTATTCAATTAATATAGAGAGATGGAAAACTTGCCGTAAAGAAGTTGATATATTGTAGTTAAAAAAACAGAAATTTTGACAGCTCTAGGAAACAATAGCAATGTAACTTCCAGGAACAACTTTATCCTTTCCTTTGTATTATAATACAGAGCAGTGGTTTTGCAGCCAAAACTGCTCATGCACAATTGTCATCACTACTTATTGGCAGGAGGCCATCATGAATGGGTAGTATAATAGAATGCAAATGACAGATAATCCCAGTTTTGTAAGGGCTCAATTCCTTTGTAAAGCTCCTCAGATGCTGTAGCTTACTGCAATCCAGAGAAAAACCTTTGAAAATATTTCCCAAAATTCTTTTTAAATTCCATCATGTTTCTATTTGAATTACAACAAAGGACTGCAAATTTAAAAGCTGTTTTGGTTTTAATAATGAATTTTCCATAATACAGCTATGCAAATTTTTAAAATTATATTAATTTTTTCTATTATGTAAGGATTTTTTTTACAAATCAGGAAGAAAAAAATCTTACTTTGATGAAATTAATATTTCTCTTACCACACTGAACTTTTTTTTTATAATTACGTTTGTTAACAAAAATACAAATAAAGTGAAGAAAAGGGAAGAACACTAATGTAAAAGGAATATGCACCCTCATTCATCCTGATTTTTTTTGTGAAATCTACATCTTTTAGTCTCAAAACTACGTGATGTGGTCTTTCTTTTATGTATTGATTTATGACTTTTGTGAAAAATCTGTATGTGATGGAGAAAAATTGATATTATTTTTGGATTCAGTGTACAGGAATTACTGTAGAACATGTAAAAATTTCAAGACAATAAATCCATCACACACCTATGTAATTAGCTTCTTAGCATTTTCAAGTGTTTACAGCTTATAATGTTCCAGTTTTCATATTTCATTTGAAAAATAATAAAGCAACCATCTGTAAAAAATTGTCATCCTAAGCCTTTTTTTTAAAATAATTTAAAACATTTTTAAGTAAAGTGATTTACTTACCTCCAACTTGTGACAGCAAAAGTGAATGCAGCATAAGTTCCAATACATCCTAGTGTGACCAATGCAAATTTCCCACCAAATTTATAATACTAACAAAAGAAAACAAATTAAGTTAAATAGAAAACTAGTTACAACACACACACACACACACACACAGAACTGTACAAAATGGCATATGCTAAAAATACTATGTTTAAAGAATTTTTGATATAAGTGTAGGGATATACATAATACATATATTTAGCAAAATCAGAATACTGAATTCAACATTGTAAACATATTACATCATCTACACAGTAGACTAACCTCCAGTTTTATGTTTTTCAATTTAATATGGAGATAATGGTTAAAGTATAAATCTAACATACCTACAATCTTCAATTAGTCTATAGTTTTCTCATAGTATCATAAAAGTTACCTAATTAATGAACTTGTGTATTTCTTGAATACATATAAAAAGCATAACAGTTTTGGGTCATAATGCAAAGTTTCTGATCCAAACATTCATAAGAGATATCTTAATAAAACTGAATACATTTCAAAATCTGATCTGCATTTTGAAAATAAGCAATAAATTAGTTTCATTGGTTTAAAAACTACTGAAACATGAAATATTTTAATGTATAGTTTTTATTTATTTCAAACAATACCGAACAACAACATTTAACATAATTATTCAATATAAAGTCATACAATTAAAATCCAAAAGTAAACTTTTGCCATTAACACTTGCCATATTGAATTATTCGTTGTTGCTAGACTGTATATTTATTCAATTTTCACAGATATGTTTTACATGTTTGTTCAAATTACTTAACCAATATGCTGCTGACTAAAGTCACTTCAAAAATTGTTGGGACCACATTGAAGACCAGAGCTGAGAGCACAAAGTTGATTCCCCTATTTTGAAAATTAATTGGAATAAATATCTATGTACAATTGCAAACAAAAAATTATATTTTGCTAAAATGCAAATAGTGAATTCATGGCAGATGTTATCTAGGCCAGCATTTCCCAAAGTGTGGGGCATGCACCTCTCTCTCTGGGAGGGCAAGTGATTAGGGTAGAGTCAATAGTGCAGTAATGCAAAATCGAGTGTTTTAATATATACTTTTATTAATGAAATTAACAAGTAAAAACTACAAAACATATAGCATTTTAATGTGTATCTGTGTATGACAAAAGTTTGGAAAATGCTGATCTAGACTAAAACTGTAAAGAAACAAAGCTCCTTGAATACTTTCTAAATCTTTATTTTATTAGATTGCTCAATAAAGACTTCTAGTGAGAAAAGTAAATTATTGACATTTTAATTCAAAAGTACAGTTCCAACAATATTGGATTTTGTCTTTTTACAATACATTCCCTTATAAGGTAAACAAAGACCATTAATACTTATATTGTGTTTTTTGCCTTAACACAAGTACCTTGAAGAATAACAGTTATAACAGATGTATAAAAAAAAACTTTGTCATTTGTCCCAATTACATGCACCACTGATATATTATAAGCAGCATGATATCTCAAAATAAAACTTAAAAGTAATATCACACTTGATTAAGGTGATTATAATGTGTATCTTGAAAACTAGCAATATGAGCAGACAGTTTGTAGTTAAGCATAAAGCTACACAATGGGCTCTCTCTGTTGTGCCCACTATGAGTGTCAAAACAAGATTTCTATAGTTAAAGCAAGCAGACTTACTGCTCTGCCACTGGGGGCACAATATGAGCAACACATATCTATTGTTTATCCTTTAATAATACAAACTATTTACCTAAATATTTACATATGACCTTACTGAATGGACTTAACTCTTGTTGCACTTTAGTATATCATATTTAAAGAATTAGCCTGTTACACTGACATTAGTGTAAGCTGCTATAGAATTTTATTTTTAAGGATGGCACACAATGCTGCTAAGTTATAAATGATAACTGACACTTAAAAAAATGAAGTGTTTGCATGCTGACTTTCTCAGTTATGATAATTTCATGAAATGTTTGATCAATGACTGAGAACAATAACATGTGGGCAAAGAAATACCAAGTGCTCAAACAAAATTGATTAGCAGCTTCTTAGTTTAAAAAATGTTTATTAGACAACTGTGATTATCTGTATTGTCATGAAGTTTAACCCTTCTACTACGGGTGGGTGGATTCCACCCAGCCCATATTACAGCAGTTATGCTGTAACTTTTTAAAATATAAACATATCTTTACAAAATTTTGCAGATTATCAGTAAACATTACCAGCATTTGTACACAAAGTATCAGATTTTTAAATTAAGTTTTGACATTTTTTAATTAATTATTTGCATGTGAATTTTTTATTTTCAAATGTTGGCCATCCAACATAAGAAAAAATTTTGATTTTAAGATTAAAAATACATTTGTGCATCAGAAAATTGTCAAATTTCACATGCAAAATCTTTAAAACCTCCTAATATTCTCCAGATAATTATCAAGCGTTTTCTTAGAAATAAAACTTTATATTTTATCTGTTATTTTCACTATCGCATCTCTGTAGAGTTTGGTAGATTGACCGACCTCATAACCATCATAAAAAATAGGAAATAGACAAATGTTTTTTTTTTACTTTCTAGAATTACTACAAATTATAAAACAAAACCAAAATGGTTAGTATAAATAGCTAAAATATCATAACATTATACACACATAAAAATTTATATTTTTATTTTATTGACCTTTCAGCAGTGTCTGGCTAATATTACAGGAGTTGAATGACGGGGCAAATGTGCACTCATGTTACAGTATCCAATAATATAAAACTGGCCTTTACAAGGTGACCTGTCTTGGCTGTGTTCTAGTGGACCAGTATTTTGTAAAATACAGTCATATTTTGGTTATAATACATTACATATACGTATACATTATTATTATTTACAAATAAGTTCTTAAATTTCAGTTATTTTTCTTAAAACACAGAACAGTAAATGAAGTATAGAAAACAATTATCCCTTCTTGTTATGAACTTTATACTTGTTTGCTGCTTGCCCTAATTTACTAAGCCTTATCAAATTTTGCAAGTGAAAGATGTAAAACAAAATAAATTTTCTTAGGTTTTACATAAGCATTTTAAAATAAAAAAAAAATCATGAATTTCTATATCAATACCAAAGAATTCCACTATAATTTATCAGGCTTAGTAACTAAGCTGTAGTTGGGTCTAAAAATATATGATTTTTCAAGTTCAATAATAATGTCTTACCTTACAACTTGGAATCTACCATGAAAAGAAAGGGTTTCCTGTGTAAATACTTCACAGAGGCTCAGAAAACCACATGGAGGACATTCTGAGCTTTCTATTGGTTATTCACACATCATAGACAGAAGTATGTGTATGTAAGCATTTCCAACAATGGAAAGAGGTGGGCAGGGCCAATGTGTTTGACTCGCTAAATGTAGCAATATCTCAGCAAACAGAAAAGACAAGAGGTTCTTATTTTATATTCTAGCTTGTCAATATCGGTAATTTGAGTTTTTAATTCATAAAAAAGGTATAGACTTTGTATTTTGACATCACAAACATCTACTCTGATTCAATGCTGCATTCAACATACCACGTGACACCCAAAAATCAATATTTAGGATTATTCTTTTTCTATAATTACTTTGAAATTAAGAAATTAACTAAAGTATAACACTAAAATTTGAATTATAATCTATAATTTGATACCAAACTTAGATATAAATAAACTTAACATAAATTCATAAAATCGTAGTTCAATAAAATTTCGAATGTAAGTCTACAAATGCAATGACATGACCTTTGACCCGTGACCATAGGAAGACCCATCACGGGAAGGTTAAAGAATTTTTAAGTAATCAAAAAAAAACTTAAATTTATACTCACATCATCGGTAAAAAGATAAATTAAAGCAATGAAGGACTGTAATAATGAAATAATTTTGCAAACAAGCAGTACAATAAAATAGTAATGACTATCAAAATGATAAATTCTTCAATTGTGATTTTTCAATCTTAAGACAAGAGCATGTGATAAGTATTATAACATAACCTCTAAGTTTGACAGTGACAGTATACACTGTTAAATATGAGAATTATCTCATTATAAGATAAAAAGATCTGACACGCACACACATACCTAGTTCCTCTATCTATTACTTTTGATAAAGCTCCTGTGTGACGTGAGAGGTGAAAACTGAGATCTAAGTCATGAAGATGAAGAAAAACTCTTCTGGCTACACGACGAATAGAATTGTGAGCTACTTTGGCAAATACTGCATTCCGTAACTCATTAAACAAAGCAGCTCCAGCTCGAGCAGCACCATCTACAACAGGAAAAAGTTTAGTTACTTAAGGCTTGACTTAAGTACAGTTTTATTTATTTCAAGAGGAAATGTTCCCTGATACATCATTACATATTCTTATGGAAAATACATTTGCTAGTCAAACTGTGTAAGGACAAAATTAAAATGATTTTATCTCCCCACACAGAAGATAAAATATCTTGCAAGAACTCTTCAAAGTTATGTTGTTGTTTTTCAACCAATATTCATTGTAACTATTATTAATTAAAAGTATACATAAATACACTTTACTGGAGTAGTGTTGATAAACATTAACAAAATAAAATACATATGCTGCTTTGTGTTCATGGTATCTTACTTTTGTAACAATGTTTAAATTGCTACTCTGAAGATGATAAAACTTGTAAAAATAAACTAATAACATAGAGAAACTTGTGTATTTTATGTTGTGGTTAGCTGAAAGAAGAACAGTACAAAATAAAACTACTCATAATTCATAAGAGCTGATTTAGGTAAAAAAGTGATAATGTTACTCAGTCTGCATATAAAAATTGACAAACAGAAATATTAAGTTCATAGAAAATAAGCCAAACAAAAACAATGATGTGGACATAAACACAGAAGAAAATAGAAACTATATTACAAAACAACAGATTTGTAAATTTGCAATACATGTAAACATATGGAAAACTGCAACAGCTCCATCTGGACTCTTCTTTAATTGGAAAAGGTTCATTAAGAAAGTTCAGATAAACCATAATTATAATTTGTAATGACTTAAATAAAATTGATAAAAAAAATTAACACTTCAGCAATTTCATCTAGTTCACACCAAAACACTCGATGTTCAAGTAATTTGATGATATAAATAGCATCTCAACCACTACTACATCTGTCATATCCCAGTCAGCCTGATGACCCCTGGTATCGAGTGAAAGGTCTTGTCAGTACTGGATACAGCAGATATAGTGTAACTGCTGTATTACATATATTCTGCTTTACTTTTATTTATAACTTCTGATGATTGCTGCCATATACTGCTACAATCTACCATTTATCCTATAATATACTGTACTGACAAAGTAAAATAACACAGTTAAACTTGTGTATACATACTAATTTTGGAGAAAATTTTGACTGGCCTTTATACAAATGTGGCCCTATATAAAGGTATAGAAAATTTCCAACAGATTTGTTTTATAAGCGTGAATTTACAGTATAATAAACTAAAAATCAAAATAACAAAATCTGGCAAGTTGAAAAAATACATATAATCAGAAGTTATGATGTGGAAAAAAATTTAATGTCATCTTATATGCTATTAATAATGATCCATTTGTTACGTTTGGATTCACAACAACTTTTTTCAATAAATATATCTATGTCAGATCTTTATACTAAAACAAATTACTTAGCATGTTTTAGTAATGCAACAAGTTTTAAAATAGTTTTATTTAAAAATTAAATATCCCAGATATAGCTGTTGCCATCAACACACATTCAATTCTGAGTGGGCAACATACTTTACAAATGTTATAAAGGTGGTGGTTAAGCTTTGGATATTTCATTTCAAAATTTGCTTTACTGCACTAAAACATGTTGGAGCAATTAATGTAAATAGAGATTCAATAAAATATTTTGTTGAAAATCTTTGGGTTTGTTTGTTTATTTTAGAGAAAAGCCACATTGGGCTATCTGCTGTGTCCACTGCAGGGAATTAAATCCTGGATTTTAATGTTGTAAGTCACCAGGGTAAGAAAATCTTTGAGAACATTTTGAAATGCAAAATGGATGCATCAGTTGCTTTGTGATTTGACAGCTACTAACAGAGAGCTTGGTAAATCAGGGTAGCAAGTATTGCAAAAAATGCATGTACAAGTTCTAACTATATGTTTATTTTTGTTCCATTTTGACAGTAATGTACCTTAATTATTCTATACTGTATTAAGTTCCATTCTAAAAAAACCTTATACATGTACTTTAATTTTAAATCCATCCACTTTATTCAATAGCTTCTCTCTTTATACTCTGAATTTATGTTTTGCTAATGAAAACTACTGAGCACTTTCCCTTGTCTATCACCACAGCTTTTACTGAAAGAATAGTTCATACTTCTTTGTTTTTAATAAACATGGTGAATAAAAGCATATTTTGATGAATGAAGGAATGAATATACTGAGACGTTATTTAACCCTACTATTACCAATATATCAAACAGTTGTACGTGTTTATATAACCAACATAACTTATTTAGACTTTTCTTTATTAGTTTAAGCAATACATCTCTGCTGTATGGCAAATTATAACCTAATGATTAACATTTAATTAATTATTAATAGACACCAAATCAAAATGTTTCTATCAGAAAACAATGTGGCCTTCTACAAAAATTGTAGATAAATAATTGTAGTAATGTTGGTAATTAAGGAGTTAATGTTAAGGGAAGTTAACATTTTCCTAAAGTGAAAATGTATTTTCAATAATACTTACTTCCACTGACACTATAGCTATTTCTAGATCTCCAGGATTTCCACTCTTTGCCCATCTAAGCATTGAAAATGCTTGCTTCAGTCTTTTATGCCCCACTCAAATGCCCTTGGCAAATTCTAATTTGCAAAATTCTCCAACAACTTCAATGCACCCTCTATCTTGGTACTGTATATAAGCACCTCATTCAGATAATGTATTCACTTTTTCAAGACATAAATCAGCTTTTAGTGAGAAGGCAGGGTGGGAGAGTATCAGTGGAGGTAAGTATTATTGGAAATATATTTTCGGTTTAGGAAAATGTTAACTTCCAAAACATACTTACCTTCGCTGACAGTGGATCAGTGCAGGTATGAACCATATAGAAAGTGTCTGTATAAAACAGGAGTGTACCAAGATAAAGGTAGTACAAGAGTGAGGGAAACCACACTACATCCAGAACAGTTGGAATTAAGGGGCCGTGGTACCTATATTTCATGGTGGTGGCTAGGGCTATTGGACCGAAATGTTATATATATATATATATATATATATATATATATACACACACACACACACACTATTATTTGTAGTGTACTACCCAACCTCGTACGACCAGTTAGTAGTAGTATGTACTTTACTTTACCTACCAACCGAAGAACTACGACGTAGTAGAAGTAAAG